TGTCTTCAGACCTTGCCTCAACGCCGCAGTGTTGATCCAGTTGGTCAGCGCTAAAGCCTTGATCTCAGTGAATCTTTGTGACTTTGAATCCAGCCTGGATTCTAACCGTTGTCTCTGTCTTCCAGGAAACCAGTGTCTCCTCTGTGAAGCTCTGGAAGAGCTAACCTGCCGAGCCGACCCTCAGAGCCAAACCCGAAGAACCACAGTGAACTTCCATGCAGCTCAGGACTAAGAGCTGGAAAACCCAAAGCCAAGGTCTGCTCAGTACTAGACGTAAGACGCTGAAGCAGCAAGCGGACTCTGCTGATCAACTCCTCTCCAGATCCAACAGTGACCCTCTCAAAGTTATCTACAAGAACCCTCAAGGTACAATCAGTTACAATCAAGAACGCAAGCCCCAAGGTGCAACGCTAACTGAACTGTCTCTCATGCAGACTCCGGTGAACCAGTTTCCAGGCCCGAACTAGAACCAGTCTAATCAGTGTGCTTGTGAACAATAAACTTGTTGAACTTTTACTCCTGTGTCCGTCTAGTGGTGTTCTGCATATTTGGGTCGCTCTTTGAATACCCATCATGACACAGACGCTGCCTGTCATTAACACTGGATCATATTTATTTGTTTATCTATATATTTATATCTATATATGTATATTATTCCTATATCTATATATTTTATATCTATATTTATGTTATGTACCCATTTTCCCTCCAATAATCAGAGCCTCCATAGCGCCCCCTGGCGTGTCTCTCGCAGTAAAGCAGGTACCTTGGCTATAACTTCTGGGTATTTTCCTATAGAGGGTTCAGGTTCAAACTCTGTTTCATTTCTGCTTTTTTTAAGGAAGATCTGGGATATTCGGAGGGTTCCTCCTGCTATAGAAAACTTGGATAGAATGTGAGGAACATTTATCAGAGACTTTTAGAGAGAATATTTAGTTACCTGGTTAATAAATGCAGCATCATAGTTTCCTGCTGCAGGTCAGAGGCGTAACTTTCTGAAGGACTGATGGGGCCATGTTCCCACCAACAATCAATAGAATGAATTAATGCATTGTTTATGTTTGTAACACGCACGCTACTGGCCTCACTGTCGCTGCTCTGAAGTAGGGATGGCAAATTATTTCAAAAGAGACTGAATCTTCTAATGTCCATATTGCATTATAGATATACATATCTAGAGCTGTTTGTTAAGACAAATGTCAGCCATTTGGGACAAAGCTTTGATTCATCATTCAGAATTCATTTTTATTGTTAGTTTATTAAAGGAAAATCGTACTGAATCGTTATATCATCAAAATAAAAGTATAGATCCTATTTTTGCTCCATGTTACCCAACCTTAAGTATTCATATTTAATCAGATGTTTGTCCTTAAGGTGCTGCTTCAGACTGAGCAGCAACGCTGCATGAATAAAATAAGGTGGATGGATGTAAAACAGGTCAAAAGGTGTTAAAAAGGTTCTTTTTTTTTCCTGCATCCATCTGGTTCTTTATTATTTAAATGGATGGAGATGCTTTTAGTTTAATGGCGACCGAGGAAAGTTTCAGCTTAAACCCACTAAGGCCACATCAGCACCTCGAGGACGATTCTGGGATTTCTATGCAGTTTAGATCTACTGTCTTTGATGCCTGCATGTGGATTTATTTTAGTGGTAGTCCAGTGGTTAGGGCACAGAGCTCTGAATCATGAGGTTGTGAGTTTGAGCCCCACTCCCACAGACTGCCACTCTGGATCCCTGAGCAAGACCCTTAACCTCCTATTGCTTCCTGGGTGCCGAAGGGGATGGTTTAAATGCAGAGGTGAATTTCTCTAATGTGAGAAAAATAAAGTTTTATTATTATTTTATTATAGTGGGAAGCAGATTTAATAGTAGAAAAAGAATAAATTGAACTAAATATTTTTAATCCGCTCATCTATTATTTATTAAAACTCAAATTGATCATAAATCAGCTTATTTTTCCTCACTGGTTGTTTCCTTAAATCAGCCACACGGGGGCAGCAGTGAGCTCTCCAGCATTAAAGCAAACTGAGCTTTTGGAAACTTTATTTTGTTCAGTTTAAAACTGACAGAAGACTCACTGAAGGACATTATTCATTGTCATTTTCTTGTTTTATACCTGTAAATAATCTATAAAAATAAAGTGTAAAAAAAAGACAGAAGGCCCTGAAACAGAGACTGGGGAGAAACCTTCATCTTTATTCAGGAATCAGGTGAACAGCTCCACCTGCTGAGATCAGGTCACACACCAACCTGGAGCAAAGCAGGTAGTCCTGCTCTATGATGGAGGTTTAGAAATGCACATCCCTGAGCTTCTTCTCAGAGAAAAAGGAAAAAAACTCAAAAAACAGTGTTTCAGAGTCCAGATCTTCAGTCCTTAGTGCGACTGGAAGCAGGAAGACGAGTCCAAACGCTGGTGGAGCTGCAGGCTCTGGAGATGAACAGGTTCAAAGCTGCATCCTTCATGCAAACGTTGGAATAAATATGAGATTAGCATCAGCAGCAGATCACCTCACACCGACATCCATGCAGCACTGGAAGCCGAAGCGCATTTAGTAGCAGAGAGGAAACACAGAGGAAGCAAGTTTCTGACCTTAAAGGAAAAATCTGCTTACATGAAATTATTCCATCTGTTCAATAAATGATTTTTAATTCAGAGTAACTTTCATCTGAATGCGCTTTCACGCACGTGGGCATTGTCAGTTTCACTATAGCTCTGGTGAATTTCAATGGTGAAGTCCTCTGGAAATCTTCAATAATTGTTGTTGATTGCAGATGTGTCTAGTAGTTCCCATTGATTTAGCTTGGAAAGCGGGGAGAATGGCGCTAGGCTTACCGCACCGTGACGTCACTGCTGGAAGATGGCAGGAGGGAGGGGCTACTATATTTGGGCAGAAATGGCCGCTCCCAGACTCAGTCATCACAACGAAAATGATTGTTTTTTACTGATTAACACTAAATTCATTAAATCATATTAGTTTCAGGTATAAATAATGATCTATTGATTATTTCCTGCTGATCGGACTGTCCCTTTAAATCAGACGGCATGATCAAAGCTGCTCCATCAGGATCTGAGGCTTTGATGTCAAAACTAACAAGAATTCAACCATCTGATCATTTATTTCTCCTGATTTAAACCCATTAAAATAGATGATTGATTTATTCAAAGATCTGAGAACTTTTAATTATCAAGCAGCAACACCTCTTCATCATCATCATCATCATCATCATCATCATCATCATCATCATCATTCAGGGTGTGATTTCTGATTGTTTACTGTCTCTAACACCTTTGGACCGGAACATGCAGGTGTTCTGCTTCTGTGTTCCCTGCAGTCTGCATGAGGCCCCGGGTCCAGTGAGCCCAGTGGGCCCGGGCCGGGTCCAGTGAGCCCGGTCCGGGTCACAGGTGGACCTCCGGGCCGGGGTAAGGCTCCCCTCCGCACCAGAAGTGCTGCGGCTGGGAGATCTCCATGAGCCAGACCTCCTGCTCCTTCGGCTCCGCGGGTTTGAGCTCCGCTTCGGTCAGGACCCGGTAGTAGTGACAGTCTCTGCCGTCGTCCGGGTCATACGGCGGGGCCAGGATATCCATGAACGCCGTGGGCCCGTCCACGGCGTCGATCTGGTGCAGGTTGTCCCGGTCCGGAGACAGGACGCAGGGGCCGCTCTCCTCCGTGTACTCCGCGGAGGATCTTAGCACGGAGCGCCGCAGGGCGCCCATCTGCGCCGGGGGCAGCTGCGGCGCCGCCTGGATGCCGCCGACGTGCCGCTCCAGGCGGTCGAAGCAGCTGATCCGGACCTTCCCGTAGAGGACTTTGAGCACGCCGTGCATGCCCGGGTGGTCGTGCAGCGGGATGGAGGCGCCGCTCTTCAGCAGGAACACCCCCATGCTGAACCGGTCCGTCTCGCAGATGTGCATGTAGGTGACCGGCGGCTCTCCGTGGCGGTACTGCGGCGGACGGGGCGCGCTGTCCTCGGCTCTCCGCGGGACCAGCTTCAGGTCCGCCGCTCGCACTTCCGTCATCAGGCTCCTCAGCTTCCCGTGGTTCTCCAGGAAGGACTTCCCGGTCTCCTCTCCGAGCCCCGGTGGGTTCCTGAAGGTGACCAGCGCCTGTCGAGCTATTCTCTGGACGATGGAAGTCATGGTGCTGTCGCCTGGCATCATCCCGGATCAGGAGCGCCGCTGCCCGGCTCCGCTTCCTCCGGTTAGCCTTAGCTCCCCCGCTATAGCCTCAAAGATGGGGCAAAAACAGGATGCTCCACTCCGCTGAGAATAGTAGCCCCTCCGACCGAACTGCTTAAACTGATTTCACAAAGTTCAAATTAAACCGATTTATCCAAATATTTAATATTTTTACACAGAATTATCATCATACTTACCAGCTCGACTTTTAGTAGCAGATCGATTTCAGCGTTTAAACTTCTCACTGTTTCTTCGTTTAAGTGATTTAATTTATTTACGTATTAATCCGTAAATATACATGAAAAAACACAGACAGTAAATCTATGACCTCTGGGTATAAAATCAGAGTTTAGCGATTACTCGTTTCACTTCCAAGCCCCATTTTTAAATAACTGTCAAACACGTCCGCACCAGGCAGGCAGCTCGCAATGAATCATGGGAGATGTAGTTATTTTTCCCTAAAATAGTTGCTAGTTCCCAATCAGGAAGCTTAAATCATCTTAAAATACCGATGAAGAGGACTAAGTCGTGATTTGGTTTTTTGATGAATAACGACAGAATTATGATGGGATAGATGTTTAATAGTTTGCGGATAACCAGGCTTACTTAATACACTACATTTCCCAGCATTCATCAGAACCTTATCCAGTTCCTCGAATACAAGCGGTCAAACATCGAAAACTGGGCTGGCTTTGCTTCTATCTGTCAGACTGTGTTAAGTTTGAGGTTTTTATAGATTTTATTTCAGAAACTGGAACAAATTGTATCTCAGTTGACTGGCTGCCTTAAAAATAACCTAAAAATAAGATTTAAATGAAAGGACCTGTCCTCCAATAAGCAGCTGTGTGTACAGTTTCCCCGGAAGGAGAAGAATATAAAACATATGGCTGGCTTTACTTATAAAACTAAAATAGAATATTTTTCAGCTAAATCTGTAGAGGTGTTGCTGCAGGAACGGGGTCAACGACTTTTATACAACTCTAAAGCTGGTTTTCACATTAAAACAGAAAAATGCCTCGCTTTGTAATTCCCGCTGAAGGAAAACATGTTTCGTTTCATATAGCAAATTTGCTCTAACAATTTTAGAAATTTCACCAAAGACATCAGTGCAACTTTTTGAAAAAAAAAAAAAAAGTGTAACGTGTTGCTGTTCATTCAAACTAATGACTGTCTCTCTTTAAACTACATAAAATAATTGATTTGATTGTGAAACTCATTATTTTTGGATTTTCAGACATGAAGTTTGATTTAACCTGAACTAAATACACGAACAAAGGACCCAAAACAAAGTTTTTGATTTCTCTCTATATGTATACATTTATTTATGACCTGCAGGTTTTTTTGTTTGTGTCCCATGTGAGTTGGACTTTGCACGCAGTCAGATCAAGTCCAAGTCCCCGACCATGACAGAGCGCCATTTTCGTCGTTTCTACATCCTGGGTGGATTTCAACCATAATTTACATAATTAAAGTAGCAAGAATCAATTTTATAGGTGGCGAGTTAACTAGTTAATATTAGCTAGGTGACGTCTGAGAGGGTTTACGCATTTACCGATAACGTAATAACAATGAACCGCTAACGTTAGCTAGCCAAAAGCCCTCGCGCATTCAACCAGGCTACATCCAGAGCTAAACAAACATTACTTGAAGGTTTCCATCTACACCGGCCCACTAATGGACCGCTTACCCAAAATAGACAAAATCAATTTACACCACCTGGATTTATCTAGACAATTTAAGGCTATTTTAATAATTAATACACACATTTAAATTAAACTGTTGTCCAGGTGTTTAAAAAAAATAGAGTTTATAAAATGCAAAAGGGAAAAGTTTTTTTTGAAGAAAAGTCAAATGAAATGTGAAAATTATAATTTGGTTTTATTTAAATTAATTAACTGGTGTCAATACCAACATTAGTTCATGTTAATTTAATTAAAAATAAGTACATTAGTTTGGTTCATCAACTGAAATGTTCAGAAAGTCATTTGGAACGGGACAAAGATTTAAATTTGGGTCAAATGCAGTATTGTTGTTTACATCAACATAGAATAATCAGGTCATATTAAGTGATTCAATTCAGATTCTGTGAAGTCGAATATTTTAGATGTGATATCTGATATTTGTTTTTAATTTGAGCAAGATTATACTTTTTCCAGTGTGAGCACTTCTTACGATTTTACTTTCTTTTGTTTTAAAAAGGAAAACAACCAGGGAAGCGGATATATCTAGCATTTTTTTTTTAAAGTTATTATAAGCCTTAATGGGAAGGTTCAGGTTGTTAACTGTTCTAGAAGGTTTAAATTGAGAACAAAAAGCTTTTATAAAATAAAATAGGAAATTAGAAAAGCATTTTTCAGTTGCTTTCAGGAAAAAAAAACCTAAAGTTACCCAAATTGAACTACCAGATTCTGCAGAGTGG